ATTACATCTAACTCACTCATGTCTTCTCCCACCACTCATTTCCTCACTTCGTTAATTTACATATGCTTAATACGGCCCGTCAAAAATGTGTAAATTTCTTTTCATTTTTCGTTTCAACCTTTGGAAGTAAAGACTGATGATCCGCAGTACTTTAAAAGGGCTGTGGAAAAAAATTTATTACATGGAACCTTAAAGTGGTCTGTTTTTATTTAAATTATATATATATATATATATATATATATATATATATATATATATATATATATATATTACAATAAACGTGCAATCAATTTACAAATACATGAATTATTCACACAAAACTAATGCAAAGGTTAATGATTTAAATGGCGAGACATCCATCATCGCAAACAATTCAAATAGTATACAAAAACCTCCAGATCCGTTATGAATGAATTGATCCTTGTTTATATAAATTTCTGCCGTATTAGTTGTTATTTTTACTACAAGCTTTCGTCTGTTCCTACAGACACCTTCAGGTATAGAATAGATGTTGTTCTTGTTTTTTTCTCTTAGTAATAAGAGGACAACGAAAATATATGTGTTGTTGTATCCGAAAATGCTATTGAAAAAGAGTTATTGGTTTTGGAACGCGCCAAAGCAACGCTGAGTTTGATTTTAAATTTTTAAAGTGTTTGCGTTTTTATACCAAATATGGTGATGAACAAATTTTTTACTGGTAAATTTTTTTTTTTTCTGTCAAAGTGGCATGAACTATATTGTTCAATAATTACAGTAATGTCGCACTTATTATCTAAAAGTCGCACTTGGATCAGTTATTTAAATTACAATAAACGTGCAATCAATTTACAAATACATGCAAAAGGTTAATGATTTAAATGGCGAGATATCCATCATCATAAACAATTCAAATAGTATACAAAACCTCAGATCCGTTATGAATGAATTGATCCTTGTTTATATAATTTTCTGCCGTATTAGTTGTTATTTTTGGTGATGAACAAATTTTTTTACTGGTAAAATTTACCAGGATCAATTTCATTCATAACGGATCTGGAGGTTTTTGTATACTATTTGAATTGTTTGCGATGATGGATGTCGCCATTTAAACCATTAACCTTTTGCATTAGTTTTGTGTGAATAATTCATGTATATATATATATATATATTAATTTCTCCGATTTAACCAGTAGAGAAGACAATATTTATGAATAAAAATTTTACTTTGATAAAGTCTACATTGGACGAAACGCGTCAGCAATTACCGGTTTTCCTATTGTCATTTATATATATATATATATATATATATATATATATATATATATATATATGGACTGGGAGATCGCTGGAAAATGAGCATAGCATGATAAAACGGATTTAAACTTGAAAATTTTTTTTAATTGTTTAAATGTTTTTGTTATTATAAAGAGGAAAGTTCAAAATATTTTGCTAATTATTTTTTTTACATTTTCTAATCATTCGTATCATGTTTTTCTTTTAGTCCAATTTTGTAAACAAAAGTTAATTTTTCCTTTTAAAATTCTGTCAAAAAATAGTTATACTTTTTTAAAATTTATTTTAGCAAAATTAGAAATTTAAAAGTTTATTTATTATATTCTAAAAGAAAACATTTCTTACTTTATGAACCGAAAAGAGACAGCAGGTTTTAAAAGCGATGACATGTAACTATGTGAAGATTGATGCTTTCATCACATATTGACAACTTACGAAACAAAAAGTTATCATGGAAGGACAGAAGTGATATGATTTAGCTTTTTATTGAACCAACTTATTTACCTAGTTATTTTTAAGGAAAAATTTCAGCGCTCTAATTTTTATTAGCTTTCCACCTTTGCGTTTACGATGCTTTATGAAAATTTTTAAACTAAGACTGTTGAGAATGAGAAAAAATTACATAAGAAAGGTACATAAAATTAATTAGGTATCTTTCTCATGAAAGGTTAAGTGTACATAGAATATAATTTAATATACATTTATTATATTTTACGGTATTTTTTTGTATTTCCACTCATTTTATTAATTTTGATGTTTAAACCACGTGACGGACTATTGTTTTCATGATGCTTTCGGTCTTCCGTATATCTGAATTAAGCTATTTTATGGACACAAAAAAGCCATGTTATATTAGATATTTATCTATTTGCAATTTGCTGATTGCAACCAGCTTTAATTTATAATCTGTAATGATATATACCTACTTAATAACATAACAAGTAAAAGTAACTAAAAGCTTTTGAAATTAAATAATATCTTTGTTTTATTGAGTTTTGTATGTTACAATTCAGAGCTGATTTTAAGGTAGAAAGGTATCAGCTAAAAAAACAAAAACAAATCATGATTTACTTTCCTCAAAGCCTATGCTTTTAACTAATTAATCACTAAAAAGTACAGATTTGAATTTTTCATAAAATTAGTTATGGGGGGAGATAAATATATAAAAAAATTTACCATGACTTAAAAAAAAAATAAACGTACTTATAATAATTTCCATCATTTATGAATAGTTTCTGAAATCCGACAATTATTTTTATTCTTGCAAAATTTTCAAATTAGTGTCGGCCATTAAAAAAAAAAATATACCAAAAATCAGCCATGTTATTTAGTAGTAGTTGCGCTGATGAAGAGAAACAAGGTTTTTCAATCAAAAGTTATAATATTCTTCAAATAAAGACAGAATTTTTTTAAAAAATGATTAAAAATTACTTTGTTCTTTCCTCTTAATAATAACAAACATTTTGACGATAAAATTTTGTTTTTGTCAAGTTTAAGGCTATTATTATCCTGCTACGGTCATTTTCCAGCGATCTCATGCCAGTATATATATATATATATATATATATATATATATATATGATCGGTCATACCTGCTTACGAAATGTAACGTAATCAATGACAACATATAATGAAGGGCACTTCGATGTGGTGTAATGGTTAGCAAGCTTGTCTCGCTTGATCAATTACAACTGGATAGTGAGTGAGTTCGATCTTTACTGGGAACTCCCTTCTATCAGCCTTGTGCCACCCTACAAAACCCAACCAATTACTTTAAAAATTTCGTGGTTATACAATAGTATAAAAATGTATCCAGGATAGACAATGGGTGGGGAGGGATGAACCCCAAAACAAACTGAAATATCAAGACAAACAGACAAAACAAAAGATAACAGATGTCAGTTGGACCTGTCCAGCTCTCAAAATAGAGAGGCCACTGTATTCTGACTATGGACAAAATCAAAAAGCTCTCTCGCTAAGGGAGAGGGAAAGGAAAATTAAATACCCCCTTTTGGGAAAGAAGAAAGCTGACCCAGTCGAGATGAAAAAGTTAGGTTAAAAACAAACTGGAGGGATGGGAATCTCAACTAGAATGATAACCAAAGAAGCAGACGAGAACAGGTCAGTAACGACAATCACTCATATTAACTAGGTACACAAAAGTGAACTATCCTAACTCAGAAATTTGATGTGACGTAGGTAGACCTAAACAAGAAAATCAAGGCTTGCCCGGTTCACACGAAACAAGCTCGCCTCAGTCACCCACCTCTTGCTGAAGACTGTCAAAACTAACCATTTCCTCTCAGTTCTAATCTTCATCTTGAGCTGGTGCTCAAAGAAACGGATCAAATCTTCATGAGAAAGACGGCTGCTTCATCCTGTCGCGTCGGCCAAATCTGTTTTCAGTTTGTTTCGGAATCATCATCCACCTATCATTTCATAACATTGATATCATTTGTTTATATATTTTGTATACACAACTGTACATATTGAAATTTTTACGTCATGAGGTGTGTTTTTTTTTGTTGTTTTTTTTGTATGTGTGTAAGGTATTTTGGTGTATGACGGATAGATTCTAATGGTGAATGAGTAAATTGTAACGAATGAATGGGTTGTGAGTCTGATTAGCTAAGTATAGCATATTTAGCGTCGACCAGCCTTGACCTATCTCCCCACTTTGTTCGGCCTTGTGCCACAATTACTGTATTCAATCAGTAATAAATCGTAGACATTCCATAAAAAAAAAGACGCAGAAAATGTATTCAAAGATTTCTTGGCGTCCAAACCTGAGTTTTATAGTAAATACATAAATAACCTTGTAATTCGAAGCCTGAAATGTATGGAGGTTCAGGATTCCTATTTTGACTGATTTAAACACTGTTTAAATACATTTGCGCTATTGACAATGTTCATACTATTATCCTCATCTTTGTTGTCATATTCACGACGTTTCGACCGTTGTAAGCTCCGGCATACTTCAGGCGATTGGAATTTCGGAACTCTTTATTTTGTCCACTGGGGTAGATAATTCTAGTTCCACGTGCCATGCCACTTCCAAATAACTCATTTTCAGTTATTTCCCTTTACCTCAACTCTCCCAGATTTTGCTCGCTGTGGTCAGGTATTGAAGTCACAACTCTTTGGGATTAATTCAACCAACACTTTTAGTCACTGTCCTTGAGGACACATGACCCAGTTGACAGATGTTTAAATACATTCATTCAGGTATAAACGTTGATTCTAAAATTGGACATGATTTTCCGAACAAACCAAAAGTAAATGTACGTGAGTCTACCTACCTCGAAAATCAACATTTTTGCTTGTTTCTTTTTTGTTTTGTTTTGTGTTCTGTGGACTCTGATTTTTGGCATCGATAAACCCTATGCCACTTTCTCGGTGTTCATTTTTAGATGACGAATACCAAAATAAAAAGGACCCAAGTTGTTTTCAGTCGCAAACAAAATATAACAATTGACTTTGGGTTACGCGTAACCGGATTGGGGCAGCTTTATTTTTTGACGTAGGGAAAATCTAGAGAGTTTTTCACTTTTGCTAAAGACTGCATCTTTTGTTTGTTTTTTTTTTTTGTACAGTTTGTTATAGCATTCACACTGAATCCTGCTGCAGAAACCTGAGATTTTGATGGCGTATTAGATACTTTTATTCGTTTCGTGGAAGAACAGTCATCCCAAACCCAACATCCGTAATCATGAGAATCCCTTTTCTAGGACCTCAATTTCTTACAATCTCTCTCTCTCTCTCTCTCTCTCTCTCTCTCTTTCTTTCTTTCTCTTGCTATATTTTCATTTCAGTGTCTTTTCCCAACACACGAATGTGAGCGTTCTCCTCGAAAGTGGCAATGACGGACGGCTATATAAAGAATTCAGTCAAACAATCAAAGATTCAGTTACAGTTGAACATTAGAATGTGCTAAAAATGGTATCGATGATTCCGAAAAGAATCCGTCCTGCTTGCAGAATTATATAAAGAAATAAATCATTTGAGCGGCGACTTACGCGACTCTTCGACAACTTTCTTCCTAAAAATGAAAAAAAACCAAACTTATCCTTATTTGTGTTAACTTTTAAACCCAGGAAATCTTCAGTTATACACTAATATTTCCAGACTTTTTCAATAACGTTTACTAACACTATCCGAGGAAATTTCCCGTTTTCTTATTATAGTTTAGTTTGTTTTACGGCATATCAAGCTCAATGGGTTATTTAATCCCGACAAGATTTTTATTGCTGATAATATTTTTTCAAAAAGTATTTCTGGTAATATTTTATCAAAAAAGTATTGCTGGTAATATTTTTTTTTAAATATATTGCTGGCAATATTTTTCAAAGAAAAGTATTGATAGTAATAATGTATTTCTGGTAATAATATTAAACCTATTTTTACGCGTTTTGACCCCAGTTTGGCGGTTAAGTATTTTCCCATAGCTGGAACTCTAACAGAGGCTACCACCTCGGGTCAGGGTAGACCTGGGAACACCAGGAATTAAGAGGTGGTTCTACGTTCCTCAAAACCTCCTGATCAGAGGTCTTGCTGTTGGATGTAGTTTATCGTCTTACCCGGGACGATTTCCTATTTTAATTTTCTTATGTATCATAAATTTTACTTAAATCAATTAATATGCTCCTTGTGGGTTCTACAACTATAAAATTTTTATTTTTTTAATCATTTCACGCCAAGCGATGCTACCAGTACGAAGTGGTTTTACAGAGTGTGAAAGTAAGCGAAAAGACTGAGTATAGGAAGGATTGAGGAAAGGACGGCTGGGATTTAATAAGACAGAAAATGGTGATTGATGTTGCATTTAGATTTTTGAAGATTGTTGTTATCACGTAAGCAGGTAACCGGAAGAGAGTTTCACAGGCGGGGAGTGCTAGGAAAGAAAATGTTAGAGTAGAAGTGGCGGTTATATTTAACTATTTCAACAATAAAAGGGTGGGACCTAAGTGCCAATCTAGTGACACGCGTAAATTCTTACAATCGTGGCACCAGACAAAAAAGATCGTCAGAGCAGTTACCATGGAAATATTTGTAGAAAAGACAGAGGGAAGCCACATCACATCGGTTAAAAAGTGACTGAAGTTGAGATGCCAAGTCAGGATTGATTACATTGCGAATCCTTCTTTGGATTTTGTCAAGAACTTGGCGATGAATAGTAGGAACACCAGATCAGATATGGCAGCAGACGTGTAGAAATTCATAAAATTCGTTAAATATTTGAGTTTAACAAATTTAACAACTTTAACAAAACATTACAATAAGAATCATAAATATGAATGCCGTCATTATTTAATTAAGAAGATACAAATGAAAAGATTTAAAATTGCCAATAATTTCCGTGTCATTGAAGCAGATGTTAAACGTATGTGAGCATTATCCCCTCTTCTATCTTCCCTTTCTTTCTGTATTTCTTTATCATATCATTTAATGAATACATAACATCATCGCGTGTTCCACAACTACAGAATACCATTGGAAATTCCCTTATGACATCGGCAAATATTATTGAAAGAAGTAAGAGGGTACAAAAGAAAAGATTTGAAATTGAAGTTTTTCCATTCAACTAAAATAGATGTTAAATCACTCCCTCTAGCTTCCCTTTCTTTCTTTCTTTCTTTCTTTCTTTCTTTCTTTCTTTCTTTCTTTCTTTCGTTCTTTCTTTTTTCTTTCTTTCTTTTTTCTTTTTTCTTTCTTTCTTTCTTTTTTCTTTTTTTTTCTTTCTTACTTTCTTTCTTTCTTTTTTCTTTCTTTCTTTTTTCTTTTTTTCTTTCTTTCCTTCTTTCTTTCGTTCCTTCTTTCTTTTTCTTTCTTTCTTTCTTTCTTTCACTTTTTCTTTCTTTCTTTCTTTTTTTTTTCTTTCTTACTTTCTTTCTTTCTTTTTTCTTTATTTCTTTTTTCTTTCTTTCTTTCTTTCTTTTTTTTTTTTTCTTTCTTTTTCTCTTTTTTCCTTCTTTCTTTTTTTTTTTCTTTCTTTTTTTTTCTTTCTTTTTTTTTTTCTTTCTTTTCTTTCTTTCTTTTTCTTTCTTTTCTTTTCTTTTTTTTTTTCTTTTTTTTTTTCTTTTTTCTTTTTTCTCTTTCTTTCTTTTTTCTTTCTTTCTTTCTTTCTTTCTTTCTTTCTTTCTTTTATGAAAACAGCATCTCTATATCTTTTTTCATCTGAATTTATTCAGAATGAAAATAATTATGGTCCATTATTTGCCTGGGGAAATGGCTGGAGGTGACGCGCGTGATAGGTCACTAACCAACTAAAGGCGGAACAAAGATAATGTCAGTTAGTAGAGTTCTTTTAGAATGGTTTCTGCGAAATCTAATAACAATTTGAAGTCACTGCCATTGTGCGATGGCGAGCAAACTCGTTTCACTTGAAGCTAGAGTAGTGGGTTCAATCTTAACCGGGTGCTTTACTGCTATGGACTTGAGCCATAAAGTCGAAGTTCGCCAATAACAACGCGTCACCATTGAGTAGCGGTTAGAAAGCTATTTTTACTGCCGGGAAAACGACTTTCTGAAAATATTGAAGAAAATGAAAAGATTGAATAATTTCTAATCGGAATAATTTCTAAAATATGGATAAATAGAAGTGCCACGTGAAAAATTCACGATTTTCCGATTTGGATTTCCTGAGGGATCCTAATTCTTAAGTTAATGATTGGATAATTTCATGTCGAATACCACGGCTATAAAATATTCGTGGAAATTTCCCTTGTTGCATCGTTAATTATATGAGTTTAGTCACTAACAAAATATTGTAATAACAATCATAAATATGATGACAGGTCATTATTTAAAGAAGAGCACAAAAGTATCAAAATTGAAAAGATTTTCCATTTCACAGAAATGGACGCGTAAGAGGGTTATCGGCTCCTCTATCATCCCTTCCGGTTTTTTTCTTTCTTTCTTTCTTTCTTTCTTTCTTTCTTTCTTTCTTTCTATTATGCTTTCTTTTTCTCTCTTAAATCAAACAGCTTTCCTGATATATCTTTTTCTTCCACTCTACTCTAAACAAAAGGTTAGGAAGGAAATCCCCATCAATACTGGAAAGAGAAATAAAAGAGAACTTCAGAAACCTATTTGCCTGAAAAATTGTTTAAAGAGAAAGATTTTATAAATTTCAAGAAGAGCACAAAAATATCACAATTGAAAAGATTTTCCATTTCACAGAAATGGACGCATTCTTTAATAACAGATGTCGGAAAATGTGGCGCAGAAATCCGAAGAAATTCGAATTGATAAAAATGCCTTTCAGAAATTGAATAACGTATGAAGAAATCGGAAAATTGTCCTCAGAAACAAAGAGAAGAGTTCTGAGTTTCTGGGGATTATCTACCGTAGATCGGCGTATAAGGCGACATTTTAACCTTAAAAAATCCCCCCAATAGGGGTCCGTCTTATACTCCGGTTAAATTTCCGGATCTGCTTGATTTTGACGTTCCCAATAAATAGCTAGCAACGTTTTTAATATTTACCAATGACTTAAATGGCTTCTTGCCTCTGCTATGAATATAGGTGATTATTGACAAAATCCAAAGAAGAATTTGCAATATTATCGATCCTAAACTGGCATCTCGGATTCAGACACTTTCTCATCTCCGTAACATAGCTGCCCTGTGCCTTTTCTATAAATATTATGGCAATTGTTCTGATAGGTACCTAGACTTTAAAAATTAAAGCGCGGTACTAGATTGGCAGATCGGTCTCATCATTTTACTGTTGAACATACCAGATATAACCGTAAGTTTTATTCTCTAGGATTTGGAATTTCGAACCGAACGCTTTATTTCGTTCACCGAAGTAGATTGTTCCACTAGAAACACTTTCTTTGCTGTCGACTGTGATCTTCAAAGATTTAAATTCATCCATCATCATCTACTGTTTCCTTTTATTGCCCACTCTCAACAATGTTTTTTTTTTTTTTTAGTTTCTTTCAGTCTTAGTAAACACTTCTTAGTGGCTTTATTGCCTTGCTTGGAGTGAAATGATGAAAAGTAAACGAACACTGAGAGGAATGGGAATATCTGTCTATATCTCTGAGATGAGGTATTATGATTACTTACATTATTTACATTATTCGAACTGTTATCCTCATCTTCATTGTCATATCACAACGTTTCGGCTGACTTTCTTCAGATGATTAGAAATTTCGAATCGAACATTTTATTTCATACACCGGGGAAGATTGTTCTAGTTCCCCGTGCCGTGACTCAGTTATTTCCCTTTAACTCTGGTTCACCACTGCTGGAGGACACATGGCATTGGTTAGAACCAATGACTAGGCCCAAAGGGTTGTGAGTTCAATACCAGGCTACGGCAGTGGTGAACCAACAACTTTTGAGAGTCGAGTTAAAGGGAAATAACTGAGACATCCGGAAGAGGTATGGCACGTGGAAGTAGAACAATCTACTTCGGTGAACGTTATTTCGTTCACCGAAGTAGATTGTTCGGTTCGAAATTCCAATCAACTGAAGAAGACCGGGACGTACAACGGCGAAACGTTGTGAATATGGCAATGGAGATGAGGATAACAATCTGAATGGGATTATATTGAAAAAAAAATATTTCTAGTGTAAGATCAATATTGTTTTTTATCATTCGTCTTCGGACAACACTTTTCGTGTGCCTTCCTATCTAAATCCGCCGTCTGAATAATCTTCGATCTCTGTGATCTAACCAGAAGCGTTAGCGAATGCAGGAGAGATCATGTTGGAAAGTAAATATTTGATGAGTTGCATAAATGCTTCTTCCATTTTTTTTTTTTTTTGTCATTTGTAGACAACAGACTTACTGATATAATTCGTTCGATGAAAAGGAAATCCATGTAAAAAAAAAAAAAAATGAACAAAAAATGAATGCAATAAAAAAACAAAAAACAAAATCGTAGCACAGAAACGGAATGAAAAGAAATGAAAAAAAAAATTAATCGGACTTTGAAAACACAAAGCAACCATAAATTCTATGCCAGGCGCAGCTGTTTCCACATTATACAATTTTATAGGACACTCAGTATGTTATCTAAAAAGCCCGCTTCCTACTGGCAATGACAAAAAGTTAATATTATAACTGATATTATCAGACGACAATTATTTTCTAAGAGACCATATCCCTCCCGGACGTAAGCGATCATGACATGCCACAGATTCCTTTTCTTTATTATCTGAAAATTACTATTACGAACCTTGGCTAATATAGTGCAGTGGTTTCCCGTTGCATTCTCTACGGTTTTAAATTCAGTGTTATCCGTATCCTTGACTGAATAACACTCAGTGCTCTGTCTACGCTTCTATTTGACCTATAATTAGATGAGAAGAATTGGATGTATGCCTTTACAAAGGGCAATAGTGCAAAAGCGAAAACAGCAGATTAAGCCCGAATTTGAACTCGGATTCGCCGATCCCACTTTCTCAACTGGCATGCTATCTGTATATTTGCAAACGATAATAGCGAATTACTAATGTCTTCAACCATTCTTTCGCAAGTATTTGTTCAGTGAATAATCAAACAATATCTGATAAGATAGAAACATGTTAGATAATCTTAACTCAACTAATTCATTAAGCGATTTTAGCTCAGCAGTTTTGTTAAATGATCTTAGCGCAATAATTTCCTTAAATGAGTTTGGCTCAAAGGCAATAGCTTATGAAACGATGTTCATAACTAGTGTTTAATATGGCCCAGAGTTGTAAGAGATTTGAATTCAGAAGTTTTTGAACCTATATTGATAACCAGTATTTAATATGGCACATTTGCGTAAGAGAACTGGATTCAGAAGTTTTTGGACCTATATTGATAACCAGTGTTTAATATGGCCCAGAGTCGTAAGAGATTTGAATTCAGAAGTTTTGAACCGATATTTATGACCAGTGTTTAATATGAATCAGAAGCATAAGAGAATCCATCTCAGAAGAAATGAATTTTGAATGGAACTTGATAAGCAAGACCATTATGGTTTACTTCCGGGGGAGACTTGCTCTCTAAAGCACCATTTTTATAATGGAGGTTGGCACAGAGGTATATGAGAATTAATCTTTTAAGTAATTGCTACTGAATCGAGCTTGCTAAATACTTTCTACGACAGAGAGCCCTGAGAGAATTGAACGCATAAGGAATTACATTTAAACTGAGTTTGGTCACCATTTTCTATTATGTACAGCGCCGTGAATGAATTAGACTCAGCAGCACTGAATTGAGCTGCACCATAAAAAAAAAGTTTTACAATGACACAGAATCGTAAACGTATTCAACTCAGAAGCAATGACTTCAGAATCGAGGTTAATAAACATTGTTTACTATTGCTTAGAGTCGCGAAAGTATTGCTCTCTCCGCTAAGCCTATCGTATAATACTAACCTCATGGTTCTCCTGGCTTTCGTTTCCATCCGCTGTTGGGGGAGGTATGTCGTCTTGATAAGGTTGATTCGGGTTTCCCAAAATCTTACGATATCGGGGTTGACAGCGAAGTCTAGAGGTGGACCAATATGTACGTTGTGTACTGTAGAAGGGAAATTAACATTCATTTTTTTTTCTTGCGTCTGGAACAACGTCAGAAATTTGGGTTTGAATAAGAACTCCTTCAATAAAATGAAAAAAACTGTTGACAACTTTAACAAAAGTTTTATTAAATAGTAAATATGGTGACTAAAATGTCTCTATTATCTACATTAAAACTACATTCTACTCTGCTCAATGGTGATTTGGGAATCCCAACCTTCTTTTTCATGTGTCGTGTCCCCTCAGGATGTAGCCGATCATGTCTCTCCACAATGTCCTGTCCTTTGTAGCTCTTAATAAATTTTGCCTTTTTAATTTACCCTGTTCCGCCATCCATTTACCCAAGCTCACTAAGTATGTTATGCGTTGTTTTCCTCGGTCCCTCTTGCCTTTAATCTGTCCTATGAGTCTCAAAATTTCCAAACCCTCTTTTCTCATTATGTACCATAGAAATTTCAACTGACTATTCCTGATGTTAAGTATGTTTCCTTTTTGTTTCTCTTTTCACTGGGACTTCATTGTTGCTCAAATATTCGGTCTATGATTCCTCAAACATCTTTCTATAGAACCAGATTTCTGTTGCTTAAAGCCTCTTCTTCATCTTTGGGGAGATTTTTCAGCATTCCCTGCTATATAGGAGGACAG